AATGAAAAAATAAAGTCATACAGATGGATGGGGCTGTTTTAGGTGAGACATGGGGTGTATTGGAGGCAGTAAATTTGTGGTAGGTATTATCAGATTTTGTTGTATACATTATAGATTTTCAAAAATAAATATTTTAATGGCCAAAAAAAGTGATGACAAGTTCTAAAGATGGGTACTTAGAAAAGCCTTTGTCAGAAGGCTAGAAACTGAAAGCTGAAACAAAAATCAAACCTCAAAGGAGAAGACAGGATTAGCTACAGTAAGAGCCATGGAAAAGGTATCAGCAGGACTTTGGGAGGGAGGAGGGAGTGGTCAGAAAGGAAGGAGAAAGTGTGTAGGAAGGGCTGGACAAACAACAGGAGAGCATTTAGTGACACACAGACAAGAGTAGAAACATCGGTAAATAGAAAGTTTTAAAATGATATGAAAGTGAACACCCACAGAGCTCTCTCTCTCCCTCTCTCTCCCTCTCCTTCCCTCTCCTTCCCTCCCTTCCTCCTTCCCCCTCCCTCTCTCTCTCTCTCTCTCTCTCTCTCTCTCTCTCTCTCACACACACACACACACACACACACACAAGGGCTATTCAAAAAAAGAAGGCCAAACAGACTGGGGCATGTGTGGATAGATAAGTGTAGTAGTTTCTGCTATGTCTTGCTAAGAATTTATTTTACTGAATCCAGTTACAAAAAACACAAAATAAGTGAGCAAATAGAATAAGTGGCTACCAATTCCTGATGAACTCATTCTCAACAAGAGAAATAGTAACTAACAAAACAGAAGGTAAAACTCAGGGGTGATTAGCACACTCCTGCACCCAGGAACTGTAAACTTAATTGTAGCAAAAATCTCCATGTTATTACCACCTTACAAGAGTATAAGGAGGCAATGATAGAAAATATTACATTGCAATAGCATGTTGTATTAGTTACATTTTTCATTGGTGTGAACACTTACAATCTTCCCAAACAGTACCACCAACTAGGAACCAAACAAACGTTCAAGCACATGGATCTGTGTGGGAAATTTCAAATAAACTATAGCACGTAGTTCAATTGATCAGAAGCAGTCTAAGAAAACTGACACAAAGAGAACAGAGTGTTTGAAGATGTTGGTGGTTGGGCCACAGGACAAAGAACTAAGTCATTCAGAATACTGAAGGTGAAACCACACTGGCTTCCTGAAGTATAACCAGGTGTGAACATTAAGACCGGCAATTCTTATGGAATTTACTTCTTTTTCCTTTTGTCTCTCTCTTTCTAACCCACCCCACTCTGCCCACACAGTATTGCGTGCTGGGCTTGCTGACTTTGCTGCAGCTTTTTTAAAGGGAATATTCATGGCAGGGAAACCGAATATGAGTGCTGATAGTACTTACTTAGAACCTTGTGGCAGGGGAGACGCTATTTTCAAGATGCAACCAGGGCAGTTCTTCATCCTTTCACTCTGAGTTTACAGAGGACATGGCAGGCACATACGTTAAGAACCTTTTGGTTAAACTCATATCCTTGCTATTTCACTGTGTGTTTGATCTCAGGAAGTAGGTCAGCTAACACAATCTCCACTGTACATCCAATGGGACGCAGGGACCCCCCACCCAAACATCAGAGTTGCTTCCATCATGCACAGCTTCACTGTAGTATTCCCTCACAACATGTAGGACGTCAGAAAAATCTTCATTTTCTCAAACAGGTACAGTGACAAATGCCCATGATCCCTTACACTTAAGGCGTCTGATGGAGCAGCATCTTAAGTGAATATCTAGTCAGGACTAAATTATGAGACTGCAAAAAACAATAAAACATGACAGGAGGAAAATCAAAAGAAAGAAAAATAAATTATCTTAATTATATTACATTTAATTCTTGTTCTACTCATTTTTAACTCTTTGGGAGTAACACCTGATGGATGTGTCACTGCTGATGCTGCTGCACCTTGAGAACAGCCTAATACTTCATAGTTACTAACTTGTTAGACTGCTAAATAAAAAGCATATAAGACGATATCTGATGAAAGGTTTGTGCTTAATATATGAGAGCTATGAATGCTTCTGTTTTGTGTTCATTCAAGGGAAAGTTAGCAATTGTTTGTTTAGCCAAAGTACAATCTCAGTGGTGTGATTGGATTCCAAGAATTATCTTCAAAGTCAACCATGATCCAACATTATCCATGCTCAGAGATATATCCTGTCCAAGCATCCTTTCTTTTCCCGATCACTTGCACACCCCTTCCTGTTTGTGTCACCTGTGGCAGCCACTTCAAACCGTCCAGCATTGGTCAGACTCCTCTGTGCAGAGACTGGCAGGAAAGCTGTTTATTTCCTCCACACTCTTCCCTATAAACTTCATCCATGACCCCTAAACAGGGGACAGTAGTAGCTAAGAATGCCTATAATTAAATCAGCCAATGCAACACTCTTTCCCACTTTAGGAAAAAACTACTTGAAGGACCGAACCACTATTTGTCTGAATTAACTGATCAGCTAAGAAAGATCTGATCATCATGTGGGGCCTGAAATTTACATTGACACCAAACACTATAATTTTCAAAATACTTTCACATACATGATTTTATTTAATTTATGGTATTATGATAAAGATATAATTCCCAAAGCTATCACCACTAGAAATGGCCCAAGTCATCTGTCCTTCAGTTTCTATATTTCTAGCATGATGATGGTGGTAAAGACACTGAAGTACTGAATTGAATTATCTTATTCCTTTGTAGGAGAATTAATATAGCTTTTAAATTAACTTTAAAATTGACTTTGACCAGCCAGTGTTTCTGCCTCAGTAATATTATAGCCTGTGTCAATCACCAAGATGTATAATGTTCTATCCTATCTGGGGGTGGATTTTAAAATGATATTCTCTGAATATTGTTTAAATTAAATATGGAAAGAAAATGTAAATTATAAAATTTTAAATAGGAAGATGCACTGACATTGGCAGTTGTCACCCATGTGTTATCTTCTATCTGGAGACATGGAAAAGGCACAGATCTTCCACAGTATTCTGCAAACCCTGATACAAAGTTTGACATGTGCTAAAATGTCAACTCTACCAACGTCAGTCACCAGTTCTTTCCTTGGAAGTGAATAATATTCATTTTTCAGAACAGTGTTCTTTCCAGATACAGCTTTGAAAGTTCCAGAAGGTATTCAGAAGCAAAAGATATCTACTAATTTCCCCAAAGTTATTTATTACATGCTTTTGTGGAATATTTTTTTTTAAAGATACAGGTAGTTAGATATTTATAAGAACTTTTAAGTTTTCAAGACTGAGCGTTACTATTTAGTGTTGGCTGTCCTGGAACTCACTATGTAGACCAGGCTGGCCCCGAACTCACAAATGCTGGGATTAAATGTGTGTGCCACTATGCCTGCACCTACAAAATCTTTTAGCAATATGTTACACCAACACTCTTTCCATGGAAGAAGAAACAAACTGCAGCTAGCTACAAGTCCCGGGTTAAACCGTGTAATCTTGGAGGCATGGGATGAGAATCTGTGGGGCAGCATATGTGCTCGGTTTGTTGGAGGGAGCTCGAAGTTGTCCTCAAGATTTCAAGCAATTTCAAACCACTATTGTTTGAGTCACAGATACCAACATAGTAAGAAGGTGTCTATTTTCCTAGATTGTTCCTACTGGGTGATAAAGTACATCCTTACTTTATTGGTGAATTACCTCATGTGTAAGGGTTTCAGTGTTAAAGAATATCACCTGAATAATACAAGTGCAAACAGATACCTCTGTTACAGTGGCATGCTCGCCTGTTCAGTTGTTCTTAATGACCTGTCTAGAGTCATCCTGCTTATGCAAACACATGCTCTCTCTTACACACACACACACACACACACACACACACACACACACAGAACGTGAAAGATGAGAGGATAATATTTTTTTCTTGAAGCCTTTTTTTTTTTTGTTTTGTCTTTGTTCCTGTTCTACTCCTCTTCTTTTTTTTTCCCCCACCTACTCTCCCACCCCCACACCCCCACACACCCCCACACCCACCCACCCACACAGGCACACAGACACCACACATCACAGACACACACACACACATATACAACACATACACACACACACATACACACACACACAGACACACACAGACACACAGACACACACACACACACATACACACAGGCACACACACATATAGAGCATACACACACACATAAACACACATATACAAACACATACACAGACACACACATATATACAGCACATACACAGACACACACACAGAGATACACAGACACACACACACACACACACACACAATATGAAATAGAAGGGGGGTTTCTTGGGAAGACATTCAGAGGACGTTAGAGGGGGACATGAGAAGGTAATGAGCTGAACAGGAACAAAATACATTAGAAACATGTATGAAATTGTCAGAATAAATAAAAGTAATTAAAAATAATCTCATCAGGAGCTGGGAAGATGGAGGGATGACTCAGCAGTTAAGGGCACTTGCTGCTCTTGCAGTGGACCTGGGTTCAATTTCCAGAACCCACCATCTATCTGTAACTCCAGTTCTAGGGGATTTCTGACCTTTGTGGGTACTGCACACACGCATGTGGCATACATACATACAAGCCACCAAAACACTCATACTCATAAAATAAAATCAATAAATCTTTAAAAAAAAAAAAGAATGTCATCAGATAACATCTGAAGCCTATATCTGGGTTTTTCCCACTTTGCTGCAACGTACTGTGGCGGTTTGAATGGGAATGGCCCCATAGGCTCCTATATTTGAATGTTTGATTAATAAGATTTCAGGGAAGTTCCTGTCTTTTTAATTACTGCTTCATGATACCCTGCTTGGTACAAAGCAGCATTTCAATTAATAGCACTGAAAAAGATAACTATGTGTTATTTTAATTAGAGGTTATGTAAGTTGCCTTATATGTGCATAAAGAGAGAAACATTCATTTACTCACTTAAAAATATCAGGTATTAAAATAAAAATAAAAATAGATGTTAAGGTAGATTTTACATTGTTTTATGGAGCCCAAATGAGGGTTAAAAATCTTCATTTGTCTTGTGCTTTATATAAGTAGCATGTGCAAAAATAAACCACAGCATCTTCAGGAAACATTTTATTTCCCCTTGCTGCAGGAGACGAGTGTCTGTCTGAGTCTGAGTAAGCAGCACAGCTCACATCAAAAATTAACTCCAGCGGTATTGTGCTTCCCCGCCACTGTCATTATGAAAGGCCTCCAGGTGCTCAGCTCTCAGCCTCTTTCAGGTAGGAAATTGTTCAGGTCTTTTAGACAGATTTAGAAACAGAGAGCCAATAAATCCATCTGCAGCCCCTAAGACTTATCCGTGAGATGCAGACTGACAGACCTTTGTTTTGTTTTGCTTTGCTCTGCATCATCCCCAGGCACTGATGGCTGCTAATAATTGGGACATAGAAATAATCACAGAAGAGACACAAACGGCATTCTATATTAGAGGGTCCCATCAGATGGCCCTGAGCGTCATTTTTCTCATCTCCAGTGACATGCGTCGCTTTATACAATATGTTGTTTTCAAATACACCTGTCAGAAAATATCAGACCAAATTGATATTAGTTAGCATTCAGATGGTCACTTATTCCACCAAAAGAGAATGGAAACAACATAGTAAAAGAGGAAGTTCCGAACAAAACAAAAACCCAAACCAACAGAAAACATGTCTTTTTAATGCATGCTTATTTACTATAGTTATATTTTTGTATATATGAAACTTGAATAATCTATGAAATTTTGAATAATTGTTTGTAGTGACTTTATCTTTAGGGAAACCAGAGCTGTATTCATAGTCACAAGTGTACTGTCCTTCCGAATATAATTATGGAAGAAAAAGACAGAGGAGGAAGGAGTGGAGGGGAGGGTGAGGAGAAGGCTTTCTAAAGACCGTCACTGTGACGAGATAATCAGATCCTTATTCTGTTTTTTTCTTTGATATGCCATCCAGGCTCCGTGCACATTTTATTCTATGATGGTGTTTTGAAACACCATGCCCCAGCACATTCATGACCCGAGACATCTAGAGAAAAACACTTATCTTTTGGCTTAAAGGCTATATACTTGTCAAACATCTTGTTCAAGTCTTGAAAACCCCTCAGCAAGTTAGAATTCCTCTTTAAAAATCTGAGAAATGGGGCTGGAGAGATGGCTCAGTGGTTGAGAGCGCTGGCTGCTCTTCCAGAGGACTAGCATTCAATGTCCAGCACCCACATGGTAGCTCACACCTGCCTGTGACTCCAGTTCCAGGGTACCTGGCACCCTCATGCAGATATACATGCAGTCAAGAAACATCAATGAACATAAATAAAAATATTTTTTAAGAAATCTGAGGAAAAATAATAGAGGTTTAACAGTTGATTTTATATTGGTGGGCAGTTAAAAAATCAACTTTCCATTTAAATAAACATGTAAACAAAGTAGTCTATCTTTGAATTTATGCTGATTTATGGCAGATTTTTAACATATTAGCTGATCCCAAACTAAAATTAAAGCAAAATAAAAATATCCACTAAAGAGATCTAGAGATTTCCCCTTTCATTAAAGACAATGACAACAGATTCAGGACTCAGGGTCTGTCTTGTCTTGTGTTAAGGATTTTTTCTTTGTGGTCAGTTTAGAATAAACCAAGGAAATGAGCAAAGCTGGGTATAATTGCTCTGAAGTGCATTTTTGGAGACAGGCCATAGCATGTCAGTGAGCTCAACACAGTGTCCACTTCTCTGCAGAGAATCCATATGCCTATCCAGGTTTTGGGTTTTCATAGCAGAGTAAGTGTCCATAGGTCTGGCTTCATCTGACTACTAAGTGATTTTTAATGTCTGCATTGACGTGAAGAACGCAGTGGCCTATGTTGAGTTCTACTTAGTAACAAAAGCATGCCTGAGACCCACAAGCGGTCACGATACAATAAATTGCAGCTAGCACATAAAGCTCCCCTTGCAGGGTATTTGACTATGAACCACACAGAGACACAAAGCAGAGAAGAGTTTCGGAAGTCAAAGGATGTGTCGGAACAAATGGGACTGCAGACTCATTTTCAGGACAGCTAGCAGAGTGCCACCAACTGTGGTCCCAGTCTGGAGGGAGTAACCAGGAAGTTACATTTTATTACTGGAACCCCATTCAAAGCTACAGTTGCATTTTCTATGAATAAAGATCTGGCCATGGTTTTGGTTTCAGGTGCAAACCAAGGGTTTATCCATTTAACAAAATCTGGCATCTCTGATAAGATTAATAGTTTCAGCCAGGTGGTGGTGGCACATGCCTTTAGTCCCAGCACTCCAGAGGCAGAGACAGGCGGATCTCTGTGAGTTGGAGACCAGTCTGGTCTACAAGAGCTAGTTCCAGGACAGCCTCCAAAGTCACAGAGAAACCCTGTCTCGAAAAACAAACAAAAGAATAATAGTTTCTTCTTTACTTTTTCTGCAGCTGGAGCAGGAAACTGTCCACAATTTCTACCGAAGCCTTACTCCTTTCCTGTCTCATTGGTCAGTTCGTAGTTAGATGCCCCTATTAGTCCGAATATCCACAGAGAAGGGAGACTCACCATGAGTATGCTGTTCAGAGCAATCTTTGGGGGACAAGTCAACCTCAACACACAATAAAAGCAGATACTGAAAGAAAATGAAAACAGAAGATCAGCACTGATCAGGACAAAAGCAAACAGAATCATTTTATCTTGAAAATCTATCACCTCTTCAAAGCCTTTTGCAAGGTATATAAATTATTCTATTTTTGAGTCAACATTTCTGTGCTTCTTTGAAACAAAACTCTGTGAATCTGAATTAAATTTAGCATCTTCTTACCAACTTCTAATGATTCGCTCACATCCTGGTTGCTAGGCAGCACTCCAAACTCCAGCCCTTCTCTGATTTCTCACTTTGTGTCACAGCCCGCTAGTCCATGTCTGATCTCCTTGAAGCCTTCCTCATTAATATTTAGAATAAAAGCATCACTGGTTATGATAGCCTCTTTCCAGGTTTGCGCCATCCTTGATTAATCAGAAACTCAGTAAACATAGTAAAGCTATTTGCTTTAGGCCAGTGAATTGAGGGTTTGAGGTATGTATTTCCTCAGACTCCTTTTTTTCTGATTTGCATGTTATTTCCCTTCCTGAGTCAATAATGGCTACAAGGAGAAGTCATTCACTACACTACCTATGATGTTGGTGGTGGTCATTAACAGAGTTTTCCTGAAACCACCATTACTGACAGGACCATCTTGAGAGTTCCATGAGTTGAAAGCATTCTTCTATTATTACAGTTCTCTTAGTAAACTCACTAAACAAAGATATTTTCACATTTTAACACTTTTAAAAGATAAATTTTATTTGTATTTTTTGCATAGGTATGTCTCTGTGGGCATGTGTGGATGGGTACCTGAAAGAACCAAAAGAGGACACTGATCTCCTTGAACTATAGTCATAGACACTTTTGAGCTTTCCAGTCTGGGTGCTATTAACTGATGGCCAGCATCTCAGACCATCACTTTAGAACTTTTAGAAGTACATATCTTTACTACAAAAAAACCCCCACAATTTATCACAAGTCAAATGACTAAAAAGAAAAGGTTATTTTTTCTTTATTTTAGGAGCACTCTTATTTTACAATCAATCCCCCATTCCCTTGTCCTCCCAATACTCTTAGGCCCCTCACTGACCCCCACAATGTCCCTTCCCATGGATAGTGAGGCCCTCAATGAGGAATCATCAAAGTCCTTCACATCATTTAGGGAAGTGCCTAGGCCCTCTTCTTCGTATATATGGGCAGCAACAGTATCCCCCATAGGGACTGGGCTCCCAATGTCCATTTGTGCACTAGGAATAAACACTGGCTCTACTGTTAGAGGTCCCATAGATTGCCTAGGCCTCCTAGCTGGCACCCACATTCAGCAGGCTTGGTTTGGTCCAATGTTTTTTCCACAGCTTTAAGACTAGTGTCTCTCCCTGTGCTCTCACTAGGTCAGGTCAACAATTTCTGCAGGTTTCTCCAGTGCCATCTTGGCTCCTTTGCTCATCCCTCCTCCCTCTCCACAATTGGATTCCAGGACTATGGCTCAGTGTTTAGCTGTGGGTACCTGCTTCTGCTTCAATCCGATACTGGATGAAGGCTCTAGGAATGGCAACCAAAGTAGTCATCAATCTCATTATAGGGGAAGGGCATCAAAGGCAGCCTCTCTACCACTGCCTAGATTCTTAGATGGGGTCATCCCTGTGGATCCCCGAACATTTCCCCAGTGCCAGACCTCTCTCCAAACCTATACTGACTCCCTCTGTCAAGGCATCTCCTTTCTTGCCCTCCTCTTCCTCCCCTGCCTCAGTCTTCCTGATCTCTCCTATTCTCCTCCTCTCCACCTCTCTCCTTCCAACAACTCTCTCTCTCCCCCTGTGCTCCCAATTTGCTCAGTGGTTCTTGTTCCCGTTATTTCTTAACTCCATGGTTTTATTTTTTTTAGCAATAACAGCAATGTTCTGGCTTTCACACAGCAATAAGCTGGACACTCTTCAGGCCTGAGTTTTCATCTGAGACACAGGGTATTCCTATAGACTCACATAACCATGGGTAAACTTAATTCTTGTAACTGAAGACTTGCAGAGTTATCTTCTTCAGTAATAATGGAAAGGTGTCTCTGCCTTAAGAAAACCAAGTAACAAAGAAAAATTTAAGCAAATCAGCAATACCTATCCAGAAAAATCCCTTTTACATTAATTTAAACACAACTGTTATACCAATAATGAAAAAGCCATCCCACCCCATCTATCTGTTTCTTGCCCACACTTGGTGACATGATAAAAGGTGTACATAACAGAGCAAGGGAAACTGGAAAATCTAGTCTACCACAGAAGGCTTCTGTCATTCTCTCTCTGTTTTCAATCTTTATGCTAGGCAATTGGGATAGGTATCCACTTCTAGAACATTACATCTAGAAGCCACATTTGTAAAAAGATTAAATGAAGACAACATTATGCATAGCAACAACAAAGGGATACAACAACTCAACAGAGAAGTTAGTTGTATTGATCCAGTATGAGAAAGAAAAAGAAATACAGATCATGCATTCTAGAATAAACTATGTATATATAATTGGAAGCCTTCAAAAACCAATAAAAGTTGATGGAATCAAAAGAAAAAAATGAGGAAGTAGTCAAAATCATGGGGATATACAGAAACAAGATTTTGGCAATTTTTCAAGTGTTATAATTTAAGTCTGATGACAGAAATAAAAAATACTAAAGAAAAGTTATGTATGCTATAACTGTGAACTGGAAGAAGCTTGAGAGTCTTGGCAAGAGGAATTAGTATGTTATGCCACCTGGATGGGCATGTGAAAGACACCATTGCAAGGAAAGGAAGATGTCCCAATGGCCACTACAACACGCAGGCCAGCTCTGAAGGTGGTGGTCAGAGTATTATCAGTGGGAGGAAGAAATGGAGAATCATTGTAAATGGAGTGGAGGAAAGAGAGTTCTCTGTTTGCCTGCTAGAACTCTGGTTATTGTCCAAGTAAGTGTCACCTCATACAAAGTAGATCCTCAGTGTTTATAAGAAGGTGAAAAGGAGTAGAGGAGATTTGCCAGAATAGGGATGAGGGAGAAGTTATTCACTTCATTTGGGGGAATATGAACTCAAGGTCCTTTTTGAAATGAACTACAAACAATTCGATAGGTAATTTTATTTATAAATGAAGGCATGAGTACACACACACACACACACACACACACACACACACACACACACACACACACACACTCTGAAGCACTGGAGAGTACTCATGATCTAAAGCATGTAAATATGAGCTAACCCACATTAAATTGCCCAAGAATGATACAAGAGGCAGCTACTATGATAAGGCAATGCTTGAGTGAAACAGGGAAAATGCTTCAAAGCCTCAGAAAGGTAATAGTATAACAATGAGGGGCAGTAAGATAGAGTAGGGTCACTGGAGTCACAAAGGAGCATAGATAGATAGCACTATTTAAGACCATAGAAGAATAAGTTGGAGACCAGAAGTCCTTGGTCATTAGCTATGGTAATTGGGCCTCTGTGTGCCTTTATTGAAGTGATTTAATAGCATATTGGAGAAAGAAAACCACTTGAAACTGCCTGATCTGCAACTGGAAGTGACACAAGAGAGACTATTCCTCAAGAAAACCAAAGAATAAAGAAGTTCACATTGTAGATAAGGCACCAATTTTAAGTAAGAATTATCGTGGAATATGTTTGGTTTTATTTAATGAACATACAGAAAGAGGCTTTATGATAGTAAGATGAGAGTTTATGTGAGATATCTTGAGAGGATGAGAATCCAAGTACAACACAAGGATTTGATCTGGGCGTAGAAGTAACTTCTCATACTAAGACCAAATGGGAGAGTGTTATAGGTATGATTTGGCTTGGATGATTGAGTTCAACCCAAATTACCAGAGTTAGTTAAATTTAATCTTGTAGAAGAACTTAAAGAAAAGCTATAGGGAAAATGTGATAATTCACTGAAGACAATGGTGTCTACAATAGTTAATGTCTTACAAGTGTGAATAAAACAAAAACATACATAGAGTTATTAAACAACTTCAAGATTCAATGCTCTTCTTCAGTTTCACATTTAAATGAAAGATTGAAGTTGTCAACAGTTTAACTTGCTGGTATTTGAAAGAATCCAGTTTTCATTGTTAGATACAAAGAAAAAAAAGCCAAGTTAAATACTGCCTCCATTGAACTATCTCATGCACCCCTTTCTCTTATGCATACCTTGATTTCTCTATCTCACTCAAACTACAAACACACCATACAAGTTCAGAAAACCTGAATTTTCCTTTAACCTAATACATCCATCTCTTAAAATAAAACTCTTCATATTCAATCCTCCTCTTAAATCAGCTATAGGATATTTAATATCTAGAAACTTTGAGGTGGGTTAGTTTTGTTACAATTCCCATTGAAGAAAGTAGGTTTAAATACAGATAAGATCTCTTCTGTCTTTAAAACATATTATCATTATTTAAATATCACAAACTTGGGGAAGCATTGCTTCCATGCTTATTTTAAACACAAATATTCACTAATTATTCACTACAAATAAAATACATAGAACTGGTTGTGGTGGTGCACATCTATAATCCCAGAATGCTTGAGCCAGCCTGTTATACACAGAAAATGCTAGGCAATCCTATAGGGAGATTCTATATTAGAGTACCAAAGATAAATTAACTAACTTAGAGTGGAGCCATATTTTAAAGATAAGTGATATCATATTTTACAAACTATGCCAAGTTTTTAGTAAAACTACAATTTAAGTAGCAATAAAATTCAAAAACTTAAATTGCTCAGACAGCATTGTAACAAATCATGTGAAACACAGGCAAACATTTAAAAAGATCTAAAGACAAACTGATGTGTGAAACCAAAAGATGCATTAAAATTCAAAAGAAATAGAAACATCCAAAAGTATTTTTCAAAGAAAAAAGTGCTGTATCTCCTGAAGACACAGCATGTGATTCAAGACTTACTGTGTATGTAAAGCTGCTGTAGTATACAAGGGTCAACTGAACTGAAAACTCACAAAAGGAAATACAATTTTTTCCATTATTAAATAATTCAACATTGGTCATAAAGCTA